AAACATTTCTGTTTAGTGTCAGAAAACAAAACAGAAAAAACAAAAAACCACCTCAGAGAGGAGTGTGTAAGAAAACACACGAGTGACGGCTCTGAGGATAACAAGTTCTTGTCTGCTACTCCCAGTACGTAGGCCTGCCCTTCCCATCTACACCTTCCCGTCCCCCCTTTGCCTAAGCCCTGCGCTGATACTGTCAGACCCAAACTAGTCCGTCCACACCAGCCAGCCGCTGCGGGTCTCCAAGAGGCCCCCAGATCTGTCTGCGTTTGAGTAGTAACTGGCTTGACCTTCAGGCCTTCCAAGTTCTGCAGCTTCCCATCCGAAGCCTGTCACTGAAACACCTGCTCCCTCCTGGCACCTTCCACCTTGAGGCAGACTTACTCCCCACGCCTTTTATTCCTCCAGCCCACGCCCACCTCCATTTTTCAGCGAGGTCCTAGCCAAGATAGCTCCTCTGGTCTTCGCTCACCCAGTCCAATCCTTCTTGCTTTTAGATTTCCTTAAATCTAACTTCGACTCAGAAGCCTTTTGCAGCCGACTTCACTGACGTCACCCGTGGTTCTGTCATTACTGTTCCACCTGCTTGCACTGAAGGTAAAAGACTTTATTCCTTTACTGTGTGGTTCTTTACTGACTGGCTGGGGGGCTAAGCTGCTTGTCTCATAAGTCCTGATGCCCAGTGCCACTTATAAGCGGAGAGGGCATTAAGATGCACGTGGCAGGGATGGAGAACAGATCTTTAAATAACTATTCAGGTTTTCCTACAAGAATTATAAAACCATCCACATATTACATTAAAATGTACCAAGAATGTTCATCTGGTCTTTTTTCTTCCTACCCTGTATATTCTGTCTGGTTTTGGTATCAGGGTGATGGTGGCTCCATAGCATGAGTTTGGGAGTACGCCCTCCTTTTCAGTCTTTTGGAAGAATTTGAGAAGGACCAGTATGAGTTCTTTGTATGTTTGGTAGAATTCCTGGACTTTTGTTTGCAGGGAGGTTACACTGTCCATCACTCAGCAAATATTTCCCTGAGGTTTCTCACTGTAGTGTGCGTTTGGTGTACATATTAAAGAACGAAGGTGACAGCTAGGCTGTTAGCCAACTAGGCTGTTAGCTCACGAGCATGTTCCCTGCAGGTGATGGAGCCTGAGATACAGCCGACCTCAGTGCTTCACTGAATCCTCGGACGAGAGGACCCCAGGACAGGTCCCACCACTGCCTCCTTTCCCACTTGGACACTGCTGCTCCCACCAAGTTTAGAGCTGCAAAGAGAGGTCCTTTCTCATATTTATGTATAAACAGGTACCAGTTTTGATTTTATTTCATCATATTAACATTCATGACACATCAAAATGAGAAATGCACAATTGAACCATTCAACAGCTTGCCTGACTCCAAAAGAACACTATATTCATATTAAACATTTATATAGTCTTTCCACGTAACTTTACAAACGTCCTAAACCATTTTCCAGCATTTCTCACACAGAAGTCTAGTTTTGCTCTTTTAGATCACCATCCCGTATCTTCTAGTAGCCCTCGGGGCTCCCCCTCCAACTCCTGCAGACGAGAGCCAGCCCACGCCACGCCCCAGAGGCTGCCCCTTGGGCAGGACAGTCTCGAGTCCAAGGGCTGATTACTTGACATTAGCAATCAGGGACTAAAGGCTGTAGCTTATGACCACATCAGTCACAGGAAGGATGGGGACCACAGCCAAGAGAAATCCCAGATGATGGAAGGCCAGTTGCCACCCAGAGATCTCATTAAAACCAAATCCCACAACCCTCCTGAAACCCACTTAACATTAGAGCCATTACCTCCACGTCTTACAAATGTCCCACAGCGGTGACCAGACTCTGGAAGCAGGGAGCTGTTACACATTTGGTGTGCGTGTATACATAACACATCAGAAATTACTGTGCAAAACCTTGATAATGTCTGATTACACCCCCAATTTAAATGTATATAGGAAAACCAACTCAATCACTTAACAGAACTTTTCCAGTATGGTAACAGCGCACTCCCTGCACGGTTCACGCTCTCTATTTTACACCCATAGCTTAGCCCACAATTTGTGCATAACCAGTTACGTTATATGAAGACCATAGTCGTCGTGATCAAGTCGGTTTTGAATCATGTCATTCTATGCTGGTTTCAGCAGTCACCAGAGGAAACATGAAGTCACATCCTAGTCAAAGGACTGTCCATTTCTCACACATAGAAAAACCTGAGATATGAGTCAGCAACTAGCTACACTTACAGTAAAGAACAACACTAAGACCCACCCACCACCCTAAAAAAAAAGCTGCTGACGTGAATTAAGGCTTCAAAACAGGACCAGACTGTAGCTGACAAAACTCAAGCCAAAACGTTTAAAAGCAGGTAAGTACTGTCACTTGTGTACTTGTTCTAATCACCTCCTATTTTCAGCTGCCAGGATTGATTCCATACAGTGATTGTAGGTCACGGACTGAGACCACTTGGTCCCGCTCCATTTTGATATGTCCCGTCTCCTAAAAAATGCTGGGGATCGTTTCTGAGAATAGTTGGGCTGTGTCTTTCCGCCCTGCCTGCAACGAAACAAAATGCAGCCCCCTTCCCCTCACCTCCCTGCACTGTTCATTTCTGAACATTCCTTGCTAACCAAAGCGTCTCTCAGCCCTGTCAGTGAACCTGAAAGTCTAAGGACATTACAGAAAATACCTTCACCGCACGCGAAGGGAGAAAGCCACGCGAAGGGAGAAAATGACAGTTTACTGCTTCTCAGCAGTTTCACCTTCTCTGATCCTTCCACAGTTTTCTATCTCTTGGCGGTTTCCTATAAAATGCTACCTTATTGTTCTGCTTTCACAAAATGCATCTGGGTAATGAAACCGAAATGGAAAGCATCTAGTTTGGCTGAGAACTCGGAGCTGCTGCTCTGCTACCAAAGAAATTCACATCTGGCTTGAAACCAAGTTCATCTTTAAAAGCTTAACAATCCCATCTTGAACAAGTCTTTGATTTATGAAGAGGGAGGTAGCCTTGGTTAGCCTCCCAACCTTAGCTTAAATCACAATGTGGCCAGACTGCTGGCTGTTAAGCTGACTGCGAGATAGCTTCCCTTCTTTCTTCATGAAGCTGAGAAGAAAGAACACATTAACAGCCTCCATCCAGGCCCAACTGGAAATGTGTGCAGAGACGGACTGAGTTGGTCTGAAAGGTGAGACTAGCTACCTGCCTATTCACAATGCCTAGAAAACGGGCCACCGGACCTGGTCGTGGTGAAGGCCCGGCTTCCTGCCTGAGGTACTGGGTTTGCTCTAAAGTAGATCTTGGCAAGGCCCCTAATGGTCGGTCAGCAGAACGACGCTGGCGTCACTCAGCTGGCCGGTGAGCTTGGATTGGTGAATCAGCTTTGGATGCGATCGTTTCTCTTGGATCTACCATTAGGTTCTGTTCCTAGTAGGGTCTCCCCACCCGACCCACAAGCTGGCTCAGTCTCAGCGCTAAGGTGCACTACGGAAGGGACCGGACAAAGAGACTGGTATCCGAGCTCTCCTTGTAGCGTGACAAGAAAACGGTGGGGGTGTCTGTGCTCAGACACCAAGTAGAACTCGACCTAGTAAGAACCAGAGATGTGCAATCCATTGCATACAACTGTTTCATCGGTCTGGGGGAAGCTAGCGTCTGCCCTTCCACTTGGGTGAGAGAAGTATTAGCTGCTCTCAAACGCAGATGTTGAGAGAACACCTGTGTTGATCCACCTTTTGCTTTTACACCATAGCTCCGTTTTCCAAAAATATATATGTATGTACATACATCTATTTCAGATTTACAGGGAATATTTTTTTGTGAACGAGAGCGACACCGTCGGCGGGGGTCCCCAGGTCTCTCTCCTC